TAAAGATAAAGAGACTGAGAGAAGAAGAACGAGAGAAGGAGATGGAGATCAGTGGGAAACTACCCTGCTGAAAAATCCAGCTAAAACCAGCCAAGGCTGGTTGGCTGGTTTTGGCTGGTCTCCCAGCCTGGTTAGTTGGTTTATCAGGCTGGTTTTAGAGGGGTTTTGAACACTTTTTCAGCTGGTCAGGCTGGTCTTAGCTGGTCAAGTTGGTAGCCAGGCTGGGAGACCAGCTTAACCAGCTAAGTCAGGCTGGGAGACCAGCTTGACCAGCTAAGCCAGGCTGGGTGACCAACTAAAACCAGCTACTTCCAGCTTAAACCAGCTAAGACCAGCCAACCAGCCTAGGCTGGTTTTAGCTGGATTTTTCAGCAGGGATAAAGTGGGCATGTGGGTAAAATGAGTCCCACTCCGGCCCTGAAACCTCTCACTCAAAGTGCAAACCTCAAATCTCCAAATCCATAAGCTATTTTTCAGCCTTTGACTCAGTTTTAATTGCAAAAAACACTTTTTTCAAAACACTACACACAATGGGCTATGCACAGCTTCAGCTACTTCCTGAATTTCAGCCAGCTCCTTGTTTCCTGTCTGCCATTATTGGACACATTGATTAAAGGTTCTCTAAGCGATGTGGGGCCAAAACATTTTTTGTCACATACATCAAACGTCTCCTCACTATCGGCTAGCTGCCTGTCCCCTAAACACACTGTAAAAAAACGCGGTCTCTGTAGACACCACAGGCTCCACAAACGGCAACAAAAACAATCATGTCTCACCCGGACCACGAAACCTAACAAACAGTGTTCCAGCCAATCACTAGCCATGTTTCCATCGACACGTTTTTATCCGAATTAAGTGATATCGAATGAAAAAAGCCTTATGGAAACAGTAAAATTCGATGAAATTTCATGAAAATCGACTCAAATGAAATACGTTCGGTCTCATCGAATTTTCTCTTGATCGATATACGACTAATGCGATAAAAGCTGATGGAAACAATATTTGCCGAATAAATAATGAATTGCGATTAAGTTTTATGCCCTTTTATGGTTGCAACACGTCAGAAGACGAGTTCATTTCCGGCCAGTCTGTTTGCGCACACATGGCGGATGTCAACAAAGACAGATGTAAGTGGACAAAGCAAAAAGATGCTTCAACCAAAGGGTTTCCGTGAACCACGATCTCCCAGAACTGATTGAGCGCTCGTTCCCAAACCACAGTCACCTCCGCTGTCGTCGGGCATAATTGCATCGGCATCGCATCATCATAGCAATGTTTATAGCGTCGTTGTTTTCTTGGGTTAGTTTTGCTTGTTTTTACGTGGCTTGGTTGAATTCTAATGTAGAATGTGGTCTGTTATTTCTAGTTAACAGACTGCGGCGCTGCTAGTATAACACACCGTTGCCATGGACGCAGTTCAGAGACGGAACAGACTATTTTCTTTAGCAGAAGCAATACTCGTTTTTAAATCAATAAACTCATTTTTAAGTCAATATTTTGTGCCAAATGATTGATTTATTTATTTATTTGGTTGATTTATATGTAATAAGCAGGATAATATATAGCGAGGCGGTTGTGAGGCGAATACAACAACCGCCTCGCATACATTATCCCATTCATATGTCGCTATCAGCTGGCACATAAGCATTATTAGCCTTCAACTTGTGAAATATTGATCATTTTTTGGTGGCGCGATCCGTTTTGTCTAACAAAACTTTGTTCGCAAAAGTTTGCTTGAATGTTGTTCGATTCAGTGCGAAAATAAATGGAAACACCTTATAATGTCTCAAATCAATTCGATATACCAATTTGATCGCAAAACAGCATGTGACGTCATTACGTACAGGTTTTTATTCGCTTTAAAGCCGTTGGATGGAAACACACTTTCACCAGCTTTATCCGCATGAGTTTTTTAACCGAATTTCAGATAATTCGATTGACAAGTGGATGGAAACATGGCTACTGGCAAGAAGTATTTGAGGGTGGGTCTGGGGGGTTAGTGCGCGTGCACATGAAGGGGGTGTGTGTGTGAAGGAGATAGAAGCATCAGAGGGAAGTTTGAAAAATGGCCGACACACGACCAAATAGACGTCGTTCTGAAGAACAAATTAAAAAGAAGAAGGAGTCGGATAAAGAACGTGCGAAGTTCCGAATTTACATCGGTAGCAAAGCTTTTGAACGATGGCGAGAACTCCGGCGGCAGAAGGGCTTCCAGTCCGACGTCAGGTTGCTCTGTTTTTGCTGGACAGGTGGGTAACGTTAAATTGTTTTTTTTTTCTTCTAAATTGACGCTTTATGTTCACCAAACCCACACAAGGATATAATTAGCTAGAACTATGCACGTTCACAATTATTTCAGGAAGGACGAAAGGGAGGGGGAGGAGATGAGATGCGGCGGAGGGAGGGTCTAGCTAGCCTCCGATTTGTTTGAAAATATTCCGAACGTCAACAACACCCAGGATCGCTCAGAGAACCTTTAATTCAGGTGTGCTTGCCCTCAGTAGTCATGGCAACAATAATCAGACACACCTGAATTAATCAGACAGGAAACTAGGAGCTGGCTGAAGTTCAGGAAGTAGTGCAGCTGTGCATAAAGCCCATTCTCTACCTAAAACACAAAACATCTAGCAGGAATTGACTTGCTTTTCTTTTCCAAACATACCAATCAAAATGCTACAATTATTCATCAGGTCACGCAAAAACTCCTCATATGTGCAAACTCTAATTGTTTTACTGATCGCTAACCAATCAATGCTTTACTGTAGAATAAGCCTATAATAGGTCAAAGGTCAGATTACCTGTTTTGAATAATAGATGCCAACAATGGACAGAACCCCCCACAGAGTCATTTGTGTCCTTTTCTGTATTACTATATAAAGAATATACTTTTGGTTTACATATGTTTATGGTTTTGTTGTATAGTGTATACAACAGTAATGTTTGGCCTAATGAATATTTTATTTTTCTACATTGCATTGGTGATTACAGTGTAGGCCTACTAGTTACCCCTCTCAGAAGACTACTTTCACCATAGAACATTGTATTGAAATGTAGATATAAGTGTATGGAAGACCAAAGAGCTTTAGATTTAGAAAAAAAAAAAAAAACAATGTTTACATGGTGTATCCAAAAATGCACTATTATGAAATAAGTGTTTGCCATTTGATGGAAATGCTTCATTCTGACATGTTTATGGCATTGGAATGCAGTTACATTTTTGAAGGAGATGCGAGGCATTTTGCATTTTGTGTGTGAAGTTTTGGGAATTGTGTGTAGAGTTTTGAAAAAAGGGTGAAATAGTTTTGAAAATGTGTGAAAGTTGCTGCACAGTGGCGGAAACTAGCGTCTTGAGCTCAAACAACACGGTCATGATGTGGAGTTCTAACACTAAGAGAGAGCTTACGAACGGTCCAGACCAACCTTACGAAAGTGTGACTTACAGAAGATATGCCTAGCGTACGAACGTTTCGGGAACCGTGCCATAAGGTTAAGAGAGAGGTTAAGGAATAGGTAAAGAACTACTTAGAGATGAGAACTTTTTGGGTAACCGGGCCCAGATGCTTTGGTAAAGTCACACAAATTAAACATTGAAGTCAAAAATAAACACTGAAGTTTATAATTTTGTTGTTTTTTGTAATAAAGTTTTTTTTGTTTGTTTATTTTATTTCTTACAGTGGGTCATAATATATCATCTTTTAGTTTGTCAGTGCGTTTTGTGGTGTTCGGAATTTTCCTGCGCATTTCCTCACTAAGTCAAAACGTGCATACACCACCTCCTGAGCTGGTGTAGGATTTGAGCGTGCTGTACGCCAACGTCCATATTGATAAATCTCAAAGTCACCGTGGTTTTGAGTGTACGCCAGGTGTACGCTGGAAATTTGGTGTACACACTTTTGATAAATGAGGGCCATTGTGTTTTAGTCTGAATTAGGTAAGATGTGTGCTTTCAGTTTCCACAAAGCCCTTCACTTGATTGGGATATTCTCTTGTGTTTTGGGTAGCAAGTGCAGTTACTGTAACATCGAGCATATCTTCTATTAAACACATATATATACAGACTTCATCAGGCTCCGAAAATTCTTCTCAAAGAACACAGAGAATGGCCTTATCGGGCTCCATAGTCCAACTCTTGCGTCATCAGAACGGGGTGTTTCTGTTTCTGTTTAAAAACCGTTGTGCAACGTTTCGTCCGGGCTGAACGCAGCCCCGGATTTCAAAGGTACGCACAGCTTCATAAATCAGGTGGTGAGAGGAGTGTAAGCATAATCTTACGCCAACATATACACCTGTTTCTACGCAAAAATGATAAATGAGGGCCATTGTGTAGGAAACACTTATGTATTTTGGGAGAAATTGATGAATTTACATAATGTAATACTGAAATACCTGAAATAATTATAAACAGTTCCAATATTTATTGTGAAAGGTTTTCAGAATTTTTGATTGTCCCACAATTCTTCTACAACCAACAGTTTAAAGGAGTAGTTCCCTTTAAAAAAAAAAAAAAACTTGCTGATAATTTACTCACCCTCATGTCATCCAAGATATCCATGTCATTCTTTCTTCAGTCAGAGCAAGGCGACCATTTGAGCTTATAAAACTTAAACTTTGTTGTTATTTTTTTTTTAATGAGCGATCATTTCGCTTGCTAAGACCCTTATATATCCTCTGAAATCGTTTAAAGCCCTCTGAACAGTTTGCAGTTTGCACTGAAACTGTGTTTTGGAAGCGTTTGGTTCCCATTGAAGTCCATTATATGGAGAAAAATCCTGGAATGTTTTCATCAAAAACCTTAATTTCTTTTCGACTGAAGAAAGAATGACATAGATATCTTGGATGACTTGGAGGTGAGTAAATTATCAGCAAAAGTTTTTTGTTTTTTTTTAAAGTGAACTACTCCTTTAAGTCCACAATTTAAACTAATATGAAGGTGGCTCTATAGTTGATGAATCACCCATGAGTAAATAAAGGTTTTATAAATAAAAAATAAGACCTCAACATGTTATTATCCCACTTTTTTAATGCATATTGAAATCCATTACACTCAACAAAATCTCAAATTTATGTACACTTTACAATATTTTTGCAAAATTTCTTTGCTGGAAAAAAAGCATCCTCAAAATAATGGTTAAAAGCTCATTAACATAATTATGTACTCATTAACTCTACAATATCACATTATGTACTCCCAGATAACTATACAGGAATAGTACCATGACAAAGTGCATTTCATAGACCTTGCACAATGTTTGTGGTTATAAGGATAGATAACTCTGAAAAATAAGTATATCATGCCATTACCATGCAAATAACACACTCTGTAGATGAAGACAAATCTTTTGAAAAAGTTGTCGATGCAGTAAGTGCAGTAGGCAGGTCTATAAAGAAAAAACAGGGGTGGTGTCAGTGTCGGACATAACAGAAGGCCTCTTGGGAACTTGTTGGAGTTTGCTGTTGTTGGCTAGGCTACAGGACATGCGCTGAAGCAGGCTCAAGAGATCCTTCCGGAAGCGAACCCCGATAAAGACGTACAGAAAAGGATTCAGGCAACAATGTGTGTAGGCAAGACATTTCACAATTTGCCCAGCCATATCTAAGTTTTGTGCGACTTCACAGTCTGTTATTGTGGCATTGTTGGCTTGGCCTGCTTCTACAATCAGATATACATTTAACGGCAACTGTGAGAGAACAAAAGCAGCCACAACTGCAAGGATGACCTTCAGAGCTTTGTGTTTTTCAAAGCTTCTAGCCAGCATGAGTTTACGAATAATGACTGAGTAACATAAAACAATGACCAGCAATGGTAGTAGGAAGCCAACACAGATCTGTAAAGACAACACCAAGACTTTAGTATAGTTGTTGTCTGTGATCGAATAAACCATGACGCAGGAGCTGAGCTGGTGGCTTATTTTTTTCATTTTGGCGAAGAGAAATTCCGGTAGAGCTAAGAGGCAAGAGGCAAGCCACACAAACACACAAGTTATCTTACTATACAGCATGCGTTTGATTTTGTAGTTGTGTGCTTCGGTTACGTGGACGATGGCAATGTAACGGTCCACGCTAATGCAAGTGAGTAAGAGCATGCTGGCAAAGAAGTTAATCTTGTAGACTGCAGAAACTCCTTTGCAAATGGCCTGGCTGAACACCCAGCCTTGAGCAGCATTTGTTGCCCAGAAGGGCAATGTGCCAAGGAAGAGAAGATCAGCCACTGCCAGGTTCAGCAGGTAGACATCGGTCATGGTTTTGAGCCGGTTTCTCACAGTTGTGAAGATACAGACGACTAGTAGGTTGCCCAAAGCCCCCACAACAAAGATGATCCAGTAGAGAGGGGGTTCGTAGGTCTTACTGAACTTTCGCACAAGTTCTTTTTTACATAATCCAACCAGGTATGATTCATAGTCATCAGTATCAGTTGTCTGAAATAAAAATAAAAAGGATATATTCAGGGACGAATTCTGTGCACTGTCCATTTCATTTGATTTACAGATTTACTTAAAAACAAAACATACCAATCATCTAAAGGAATGTTCTTTCCTCTGTGGAGCACAAAAGGAGAGGTTTTGAGGGACATACTGTTTTTCACGCAATGAAAATGGATGTACATTCTTCAAAATATCTTCTTTCATCTTCCACAGAAAAAAGAAAGTCTTATGGGATGGAATCGACATGAGGGTGAGTAAAAGATTTTGGGGTTTAATATTCCCTCAAATTCTCTTTTTAGCTTTTCATCTAAATCCTCTCAGAATGCTGCCTATGAAGCTTAGAATTTTTTTTTTCATACCGATCTTCCACTCAACTGACAGCCACTTCCTGTCTACACTGGTACAACAGTCTCTCACCATTTTGCAGCTGTAATCCAGTTGAGTTGTGAATCATTGTGACATCACGCCCCTGCGAACTTTGACAATCTAAATTTACGAAACATGTTCCGCAGCTCAGATCAGGTGCAGGTGTCTCTATTGGAGAAACCACACAAGTACACCGCATCCACATCCTCTTTTAACCCATTTCTGAAGCGTGCACAAACAGATAGTGCGTCACCCGCCCTGGGGGTCTACATAAACACAGCCCCTCATAATGAGAACATATCTCATAAGGAGGATGTCAAAACACTAGATTCTGTTCCATCCTGACATACATACAGATAACAGATAAAGTATATGTGACGCACACCATGGAACATCTTTTCATTGTGTTGTTTAAAAACTCCACAATGTGGTAACAGCCAAATCTGTCTGTATGAAATCAATTCAAGAGGTGCATCAAATAATAAGGGACAAAGATATGGGTTAGTATGAATAGTTTCACTTGACTGACACATCACATTTCCAGAAAAGCATGCAGCACTAAAAGAAACAGAGCTTAACCTCTGCTTACGGATAACATTTGCTGTGAGCAGCATTTCAATTTAAATTTAAATTTGAAGAGTTGCATCATGACAAAATAACTTGATGACATCTTAGAACTTAAAAGTGTTACTGATGCCAAATTTGACTAGAACTGTCATCAAACTTTTTAACCCAAACTAGAACACTTTTATGCCAGAATTTGGCACAAAAAATTATAATAATACTATATTTACTGAGTGTAAAAATAGTATCATATATATATAGATTATATATATATATATATATATATATAATAATACTCACCAAGTCTGTCAAATCTGTGAAATTAAACGCATCACTTTCATCTATTGAGAGACAAAACGTGATTAGAAAATATATGGAAGAGTGAAACAGACTGTTATTTAATGTAAACACAAATCACTCAGGCAATATATACACAGAATATTTTCAAATGACATTATTTAATGATTTAAATTCATCACATATAAGAACAAAGCAGCTAACAGTTCATAAAAGTCTCACATAATGGCCTAATATGCCAATATTCCTAAAGTCTTTAAACAATGTGTTATATAAACAATCATCTGAGATAAAAGAAATTTCAAAAATCATGATTTTTGATACTTACAGTCTGAAGTTGTAGAGACATCCATGTTGTGTCTTGAAATCACAACCGATAACCAAGAGTATTACAGCGGTTCAGTGATGAATAAGCTTCCCCTGCTGTCTTTAACTACTTTATAAAACCACAAAGTCACATGTCAGGGGAGAGTTACATCATCCCCTTCCAAGGCCCCACATGTTGATGTCATATAACAATTGTGCAAAATGATGTACAAAAAAAAAGCATTTTGGAGAAAAACAGATATGTTGCCCTCTGCTCTGAACTGCTGCATTTGCCATTCGACTGAGGTTGCTTTATGGAGATGTGGATTGTTATTAAATACCCCCATGACTCAAAAGATGAAATCTTCTGACTTGGGGCTGCTTTCACCATGTACTGTTGGTGAAAGAAAAAGCATGCAGAAAAAGTTCATGACGTGCTTATTAGACAGAAGTGTTCATTAGTGTAGATTATACATTAATTTAAATGTATGTCTTGACTCAACTTCAGACTAAAAATCAGCTTTTATTATCACTAAGATTAAATGTGGATCAAATACTGTTCTCTTACTGTTCTCTCAAATTGTGTAAGATTAGCCTGGCATGCCAGACCTACATCAAGATGTTAGGTCTGGAAACTCTTCATTGAGAGGGCTCAATCCGAGGGGCGGGATAAACGGTTGTGTTTCAAATTCTCTCTGCACGCAATTGGATAGCGCTAAAGCCAATCAAAGCAACAAAGACGGTGACGAACTCAGCGGAGCAAGTTGATATATTAAACTTTTACCGTATCCAGTCCAGCTGTCAACTCAACATTAAACATTGAAAATAAGGGAGATTTCCCGGAATCCATCCCCAAAATAAGGGATTTTTTTTGTTTGTTTTTTACACGACCCACAAACTTTAAAAATAAAACACTAATCATTAAAAGTCTAAAGAGTTTATAACTAGCCAACATATATGTGTGAGAGAGAAAGAGACAGTATGTGTGTGTTTGTGTGTGTATGAGAGAGAAAGAGACAGTGTGTCATTAAAAAAATTACATCATAGAGAAAGTTTAAATACTAATATCAGCTTACGAGGGAAACGGAGGTGGAGTAGTGGTGCTTCGGGTGCTGGAGATGATTCGGGAGAGAGCGTGCGCTGACACGGAGTAAAGCCTTTATAATCGACGCGACAGCACGAGCACGGCAAATGTGACAAGTTAATCATTTCGCCACAGCTTTTTTGTAACAGCGTGTGCGGCGCCGGCCGCATCCGAGGATGAACGACTTCAAACCGAATATGTCCGAGCTTGTCCGAGCTCATTGGTTGCTCTGCGGCAAACTGCTGCAGCCTATAGACGAACTCGAGTAAACTCGCGTCCAATGAGAGGCCCTCGCGCCGTCATTGCATCATAGCCTGCCAGAATGGGCGTGGCTAGTGTATATAAGTGCGGTTCGTAGGCTGCATCCCTGATTTTCATCTCTTCAGCGAAGCCCTTCGCATCTCTGAACTGCAGAACCATATCGCTGTTGAGGGGCATCTAGCGAGCCTGGACAGCGCCTGAAGAAGCCGGCCATCTTCGCCACCTTCAGCCATCCTGCGAGCTACGCCATCCGGTTGACGTATCCTTTTTAAAACATAAGTTCCAACTTTACAAAAGAGCAAGCGAGTGTCTTTTTAAAGATGCCTCGCACCACCTGCGGCTCATGCCATGACCCTCTCATCGCCGGAGGCCGCCATCTCATCTGCGCCCTCTGCCTGGGACTGGAACACGCAAAGCTCGTTGGAGCTCGCTCTCGCGGCGGATGTGACCTCTGCGAAGAGCTTCCGTTGTCAACCCTGCGGGCTCGACTCGAAGCGTTTAAAGCTGCCGCCTCCCTCTCTCAGCGATGCGCAACTGCTGCTCACGAGCCGCATTGTCATCGCACTGAATGGGGGACGCGCCGCTGACAGCTGTGCCAACCGCGGATAGCTTTCTTTATGTTACAAGAAAGCTACCCCGCCCCCCGTGCATACACTTCATGGATGGTAATAGTGTGTTAGTCCCGCCGAGGCCGGACCAGTTCGAGTGGCTGGTTATGTCAATACTGCAGCAATGAGCCTGTTTTACACGCACACCTGCTACAAGCGCCGACACTACTTTTTGTAGTGTCGACACACACTGTTTTCCACGCCCTCTTATCTGCTCGCGCTATTAAACTTGTGTTTTTACCCCTGTGACTCAGTGGTGAAACACAAAGCTTTTCGCGCCAGAGACCCGTGTTCGATTCCGGCTCTCGCAGATAATTTTATGGAGCTCTGAGCTCGCGGTCAGCTTTCTTACGTGCAGAAAGCGGTCGCGCCCTCCTGCGCATATGCGTCAGTGGCAACATGAGGAATGAGTGTGTTTTTTAGCCGGCCGAGGCCGGCCAAGCACCCATCTCTCAAACGTTTCTCAACTCCTCGTTCGAGCAGCCGGAAATGTCAATATTGCAGCAACGAGCCTGTCATAACATGCACGCCTGCAAACAAACGCCGACACACAAAGCTTGACGCTCTAATCTGTTTCAACTGTAGTAGGTGCCCACACCCCTGTGCTCACCCCTACTTAACACAACATTCCTGTGTCTCACAGAGCCCACTCTCATAAGCTGGCTATGCTGCTAGGGTGTTATCTGTAGAAGATGTGCCCACGCCTGTGCTCACATCTTCTATCTGCCCGCTCTATTACACGGCCAAGTCGCACGCATCACAAGTGCAGCCTCTTCAGGCTATAAATAGTCTTGTGCCCGAGAGTCTCTGAAGCGGACACAATCCGCTCAAGTACTCAAATTAGGAGACGCGCCCACGAGCCCGTGTACACACCCTCTCTCTGCCTGTTCTGTTACATGGCCAGTAACACTTATATGAGTGTAAGTCTCGTGCCCCCCCTCCGAGCGCGCATAACAAATAAACGCTTCACACACAGCGTTGCCTGTTCGTCACAGGCTAATAATAACACACTCCCCATCTGAGAAGATCGGGGAGTCACACAAATATGTAAGCAACGTGCCCTCTCTCGAGCGCTTACGCTTACAGAAAGGCACCTCACCCATGGCACTGCTTGCGCACTGCAAGCAGACATAGAACGCTCCCCATTCACTGCAATCGGGTCGTCACTCACAAAACAGTTTGTCACTGCTGTCTGCGAGCCACTGTGTTCAAACACCGTGAGCGCATGCGCCGCACACACACCTCCGACGCAGCCTGTAAAGCCCACACAGTGTGGCAATCAGAGCGCGGAGGCCTTTCAACCCCTACCTGCATATATAAAAGCATGGGAAACTATCCCAGGGGTATCAAAATGGGTGTTAAACACAATAAGACAAGGATATTCTCTACAATTCAATCACCGCCCTCCACGCTTCGAGCGCGGCTTGAAACTACTCTGAATTCAGAAGTAGTACATCTGCTTCGTGCAGAAATAGCGAACCTGCTTGTGCAAAAGGGCTATATAGAAAGTGCCGCGTTCTCTGACTGAGTCGGGGTTTTTACGGCCGTTACTCTCTAAGAAAGACAGTGGCCTCAGACCCTTCTGAGTTTTTTGAACAAAGTGCTTGCGAAAAGACCGTTTAAAATGCTGACAATCAGGAAACTCCTTACGCAAGCCACCCCTTTCGAACCGCTTCAATCCGTGGATTTGAAATACCTTTCACTCAAAACCGTTTTTCTGACTGCCCTGTCATCAGTTAAACGTATGGGAGACCTTCACGCACTGTCTGTGAGCACTGCGTGTCTTGAGTTTGGACCAAATGACTCCAAGGTCATTTTAAAGCCTAGAAACGGTGGCCTAGACATGTCCCCAAGGTGATCGATACACCTTTCAGAGCACAGATCATTCCCTATTGGCTCTGTCAGCATCCGATAGCGAATGCGACTTCAATCTCTTCTGCCCAGTTAGAGCACTGAGATTGTATACTGCGCACTCTTCCTCTTTCAGATGCTCTGAACAGCTTTTCGTTTGGAGGGCGCACTAAAGATTTTGCCATCACGAAACAAACACTGTCTAGATGGATAGAGGACACTATTGCTGCTGTGTACGCGTCAAAAGACCTGCCATGCCCGTTAGGCATTAGGGCTCACTCCACACTAGAGGCATGGCCTCCTCATGGGCATGGTCCAGCGGGATTTCCATTCACGGCAAATGTGTGGCAGCGGGCTGGGCTTCCCCCTCCAGCTTTGTCAGATTTTACAATCAGAGACCGGCACCGCCGCTCTGTCTTTCCCTTCCCACTATGTGCTTATGTATTACACACTGTGATGGCCCCGAAGCAGCCACCCATCAGTGAACGGTGATATCGCATATACATACATACGAACACCCATAAGTTATCCTGCACATTCTTTGTTTTAGTCATTCTTTCATTGGTTTCTGTTTATATATTTATTTGGCAATGACATGCAGACATCATTTATTTATCATTAAGATATTTATTTGAGTTGCAGTATGCACATTTATTACTATTGCTTTCTTTGATTTTAAGTTACCGCTGTGTTGCTGAGAAGTGAACGGTTGGAGGTTTCGGATGGTGATTCCCAGTTCCGTGTGTGGTCCGTGCGAATTAAGGGCCGGCCGACCGTTTCCACTGCTATTTTTAGTTCCGCTTGCCGCTACCAACCAGTAGATTGACTGTGGGGGGAAGTCTAAGGGTTGATGTTGGTATTGTCTTTTCTAGTTGCTTGTACTTTTCCTGAGATTAATTATTTGTGGTCAGATATGCACTTAATATAGGATAGTTATGTAATTGAGTTATGGCCATAATAGTTATGGCTTTGATATTGATTTTGTTATTGTATTGTGAAGTTTGTTGTTTTTGTCTTCCCCCTTATGTTAGTATGGGCTAGTCCGTTTGTATAAATGTGTCCCTGCTGTTTAACTTGTAGATCAGATCTTTTTGGTTCTCACACGTACTCAGTTGTTTGAGTTCAGTTTGTTTTGTTGATCTCCTTTATAGGCCTAAACATTTGATTTCATTATTTGGATTAAGTTTCCTTTTTGAATTCTTTGTCCATGATTTTTTGATTTAGTAAAATATTTTTTGGGAAATATTTCTATGACCCTATTCCTTGAGTGTTTGGTCCCTCACACACACACACTGGCCCCCACTCTTGCCAGCCAAATATTATCCTCCACTTATAGGGCTCCCCGGGGTCCCCCCACCCCCCGGGCCTCATGCAGTGGATGCTTGGCGCGCAAAGCGTTGACAATGGGTTCCCGTAGCGTAAGCTAGCTTACGCAATACGTAAGAGAACGAATCGGTTACCTAACATAACCTCGGTTCTCTCTAGATGAGGGAACGAGTATTGCATACACGGCCGTGCTCGCGTCACGAGCGACTTTCGCTTCATTCAATGAAAACCAGCGATACAGCCTACGAACTACACTTATATACACTCTAGCCATGCCCATTCTGCCGGGCTATGATGCAATGACTGCGCAAGTGCCTCTCATTGGACGCGAGTTAACTCGAGTTCATCTATAGGCTGCAGCAGTTTGCCGCAGAGCAACTAATGAGTTTGCTAGCTAGTCCGCTCAAGGTCTGCAGCTGCTGCACTGCGTTGACAATGGATACAAAAATTAAGGATCATTTTTTGGCTTCAATATCTGAGAAAAGATTAATCTTTCC